CTCTCCAATAGGAGCAGATTACTAAGCTTTTCTTTCACATATTTTAGAATGATTAACAAGAGCTAAAGACAATCCTCTGGTTAATCTTGAACAGACAAGAATTTCAATTAACCAATAAATTGCTGTCATAAAATTTTAGTTTATCAAAAGTTCACCATCAATTATTAAAAAATAAGTACCTATTTTTTTAAAAAGTTGGATTTTGTTTTGTTTTCCTATTTAAGTTCAGAAAAAAAGAATGAAAACATAATAATGAAGTTTTCTATAACATAAAATACACATAAATGAAATCTGACCTCAGTTGCATATTAACTTTCTAAATATGTATACATAACCAAATGAACTCCAGAAGCTTAAGGAAATAAAAGTATGCATCAGATAGGAGCATGACCTTCATTCTCAGGTAACACAATCAAAAGACAAAAATCACTGACTTTTTTTCTTTTTCTTTTTCTTTTTTTTGAGACAGAGTCTCACTCTGTCACCAGGCACCAGGCTGGAGTGCAGCGGCCTCCACAATCTCAGCTCACTGCAACCTCCACCTCCTAGGTTCAAGCAATTCTCCTGCTTCAGCCTCCTGAGTAGCTGGGACTACAGGAGCACACCACCACGCCCAGCTAATTTTTGTATTTTTAGTAGAGACGGGGTTTCACCATGTTGGCCAGGATGGTCTCAATCTCTTGACCTCGTGATCCGCCTGCTTCGGCCTCCCAAAGTGCTGGGATTACAGGCTTGAGCCACTGCCCCTGGCCCACACTGACTTTTTTCTTTTTCTCTTTTTAAATAGAGACTGGGTCTCACTATGCTGCCCAGGCTGGTCTCAAACTCCTAGGCTCAAGCGATTCTCCCACCTCAGCCTCCCAAAGTGGTGGGATTACAGGCATGAGTCACTGCACCCAGCCACACTGATTTTAAAATAGATATACAATAATATAAATTTAATAATACAAAACCTACAAAGCCTATAATGAGGAAAAACAGATCAGAAATATTTTTCAAGAGATTAATATATTTATGATACTAGTGCTAATGAAAATTGGTGAGAAGATTCCAATAAACTTATGGATGATGGACAAATAAAGGAGAAAATAAAACTGGAAGAATACTGCATTTGCTTTTCTACTATGGACTATGACGTTAGACTGCAAGTAACCTTATCATCGTTTTTAAAAAATAAACTTTTAAAAGCAAAATCCTATAAAGTATGATAGAACTAGTCAACCAAACTGTACTGGAGTCAGTGGAAATTAGTATCTTTTAGAAGTAAATCTGATATATTTTTCAAAATTAACAAATCTTCATACCCTCTGACTTGTAATCCTGCTCCTAGGCCTTTAGCTTAAAGGAAAGAAGCAAAATGATGACCTATACACTAACTGCATTACCTGCAAAATAATAAGAAATCTAGATGTGCAATTATTAAGAAATAAGTCATGTAACACTGTATAATCATCTAAAGGTATAAAAACTACAGCAAAAATGAAACATCAAATATGAAAGCAAATATTCAGCAATTACATTTATGCTTTATTGTTCAAAATCACTTAGATATGACAGAAGATAAGAAGAAAAATTAAAAGTTTGTTTTGATTCTTAAAATTTCTTTGACCATTCAGTTGTTTGTAAGATAAAAAGCCTTTTGGAATTGGTCAGGCCCAAGCCACTAAGTACTCATTTCAAAACTGACTTTTTAGAGGCAGCCACAATCATCCACTTTTTCCCCCAAAATTCTATCACATAGGAATAAGATAGACTCTTTTCACAGATCAGCCACATAAGTAATTTTAGCCATGCTATTCGCCAGCTGCAACCTTCTTATATTAAAATCTCATTTTACCATCAAAACTTAATTACATGTGAGATCTCTATATGGTGATCAGAAGTCACTTGTTATGGGGCATCTGGAGAGAGGGCCCCAAGCACTGATGTTAAAACTATCTGGCTGAGTGGAATAGTGAAGGTTAGGTTTCTCTTATATCTCCAAATGAATTACCATGTTTCTCAGCCACAAGGGTTCTAAGTCCCTAGGAGTGACAGCTATGGATTCAAAGAGGGATAATGTGCAAGCAGATTTGCACTCCCTCTGAAAAAAAACTAGCCACTCCTTGATTTCACCCAAAAGCACCATGGAGTAGCAAAAAATGTACAATCACAAGGTCAGGAGATATGAGATATAGATGAGCCTAAGCAATCTCAAACAAGTTATTTGTCTTTTCAGGTGGGAGCTGTTTAATGCTAAAAATTTTTAAGTTAAACCAAATAATCTGTTAATTCTTTCAAGTTCAATATTCTATTAATTTAATAGACCCTTTATTCAGTACACCTCCAATTGCTCACAACCCCCATTAGAATTGTAAAACAATTAAAATTTAGAATTAGGAGACTGGGAGCAAGAGTGAAATACAAAGATGGTCAAACCTGGACTGTAATCCTTGCCTTCCCTTTCTACCTGCATGACTCTGGGCAAATTACTGCACCTCAAAATAAGTTGTAGGACCAATGAAACAGCAATCCTTATTGGTCATGCCCTTAAATTCCTGTGTCGTAAAGAGAATCTGTAAAAACATAACTGGGATTTCATTCCTAACCAGCAACAATTTTTGCTTCATTCTTGGATATTTAAAACAACCTTGTGCATTCTTCTTTTCTAAATTATCTGATGCTGAATGCAATGGTCTTAACATATTTCACCTATCCTACCGCTATATTCAAGACTCGGATTATTTGTCAAAAACGCATTGAGTAAATGGTTTTGAGCATTTGCACCAGACTGTGTTAGAGTTGCAAAGTTCTGTTCCCTTAAGAAGCCCAAAAACCAGGCTGGGCACAGTGACTCAAGCCTGTAATCCCAGCACTTTGGGAAGCCAAGGCGGGTGAATCACCAGGTCAGGGGTTCAAGACTACTCTGACCAACATAGCGAAACCCAATCTCTACTAAAAATACAAAGAAATTAGCCGGGTGTGGTGGTGTGCAACTGTAATCCCAGCTACCGGGGAGGCTGAGGCAGGAGAATCTCGTGAATCCGGGAGGCAGAGGTTGCAGTCAGTCGAGATTAAAGCCATTGCACCCTGGCCTGGGCAACAGTAAGATACACCCTCTCAGAAAAAAAAAAAACAAAAAAAAAACGAAGAAACCCAAAAACCTGGTGGAAACAGACATACAAACAAATCATTAACTACCAGATATCAAATACTAACTGCAGAATGTACGAATCAGTTAAGACAAGAGGGATGAGCTGTCTAGATAAGCCTCAGAGATAACACTTTAGTAAGGTCTTCAAGGGCAAGTTGTTTACTAAGTAGAGAATTCTCAACAAAGGAATACTGAAAAACCACAGAGGAAGATGTCATCTTCAGAGAACTGCAAGCAGTCTTACATGGAGAGGGCAGGCATAATGGTAGAAGATGACACTAGAATCTTGACAAATACCACTAACATGAAGGACTTTGAATTTCATCGATATAGACTATGGAGTCACTGAAGGACTTCTAAATATGGATTCGAAGTCCTTTCTTCCACCATACAGTCAAAGGAGTTGAGTCACAGCAACAAAAACGCGGGTCTGAATGCAGAAAGGTAGAATTTTTACAGAATTCTTAATGGAGACTTTGCTTGCTTTCAGGATGGCTTCTAGCGCCTTCTTAACTATGACTTATTAATACGATGCTGAAGTACCACAGTATGAATTATGGCTAAAAGGTTCAACAAAGTGTGCATTTTTAACCTGAAGATTATTTGATCCCAATGTGTTGAGAACACAAACGAAAACAAAAAATAACAGTAAAGAGTTTTCATAAATTAAGAGAAGCAAACAGTAATGAAGTCCAAGAGAAAGAACACTGATTTCAGGCAAACACTCAGGAATATTTACATCGTTATCACATACTGATGACGGATAAGATGTTTTGCACCTATCTTTTGCAGGAGAGCATCTTAAATTCCTTTTGGTTAAAGAGTAGCTGCCATCTCTAAAGTCTCTAAACTAGTCTAAAATAGGATGCTCTAAAAACACTGGCCAAATTTATAGGCTCTGCTATATTTTAATGCTCGGGAAAAAAAGGAATGCCTTTTTTTCTTTTCTTTTTTTTTTTTTTTTTTTTTTTTTTAAGTCTGTGTTTCACCATGTTGGTCAGGTTGGTCGTGAACTCCCGACCTCAGGTGATCCGCCCGCCTTGGCCTCCAAAGTGCTTGGATTACAGGCGTGAGCCACTACGCCCAGCCAAAGGAATGCCTTTCATATGGCCATTTTGAAAAGCTTAAAGCTCAATTTCTCATCTATAGGAGTGAGCAACCAACACTCTAATCTGAGACCACAGAATCCTTGCATCAGTCATTTCCACCGCGCTAAGGCCTAGTCTGGGAGCAGCCAGCCTCATTGGCCGCGGAGCCCACACACATGAATATGCAATTATTGAAATGAAAACTTAAGCTTTGCCACCAAGGGCCACCACGAAGGAGTCCTTTCATTCCTCCTTTTACTTTCGCAAGAAAGTAGGTGCATTAAAAATAAAATGTATGAAAATACATGTCTAAAGAGAAGAGAGAAGATCTGAACCTACGCAACGGTGTGCCCCGCCAAAGTTTCACCTCAGGATGTGTTTTAGGGTGTGTCTTTGATTTAGCCCTGCAATTAATAAAAAAAAAATCCCACTCCTTCGGGGAGCCCCGGTACTTTCCTCATCCACCCTCACAAGCTACCAGGCTCTGAAATCACTGAGTACCTCAGCCGCGCCCTGATTTCCCCTGAGAGACAGCGGCGGCCGCGGCCCGAGGCCCCAAGCAGTTACAGCAGCAGGGACGGCGTCCTCCCGCCTCCCAGGTCAGCGCCCGCCCCGCGTCCGAGGGGAGCTAGAGAGGCTCACCCTGGAGGCCGGGGGACAGGAGGGCGCCACCACCTCAGCCCGGGAGCCCGGGCCTCCGTCCCGCCCCGGACTGCGCGCCTAGTCCTGGGCTGCCCCCGGAACCCCGCTCTTACCGTGCGGAGGTCGCGCTGCCTCCTATGCCGAGGCCCGGCAGCAGGCCGCCCAGCGACCTGCGGGCCCGAGGACTGACGGTGAAGCTAGGGCCGCCCGTCACATCTCCGCAGTCCCGGCCGCTGGAACCGCAGCTCCCAGCATCGCGTCCGGGGCCTGAGGGAGCGCCGGACTCCAAAACCGCCGCTCCCGGTCCCTCTGCCGGCGGCGGCCTGGACTCCGCCCTCCGAGGTCCGCGAAACCGCGCAGCCCCGCCCCGCAGCGGACCCGTACGCAGGTGCGAGCCTCAAGGGGCTACGGTGCCCGCCCCACCCCCTGATCCGGCTGCACCCCACCTCTGGCCCTGCCCCGCCCTCGCGCCGTGCTTTCCCAAGCTCCGCCCCACTTCTGGCCCCGCCCCCTCCACTGACCTTGCTTGGCTGCCTCCTGACTCAGGTTTTTGCTCGGCCCACGCAGTGACGCCAGTCTTGCGGTCGACCTCACCTCTAGCGGTCCCTTGGACTACATTTGCTGCCTGACGGTGATCAAACCTGACAGCTCCTTCTCCAGGATGTGAAAAGTGAGGAGCGGTCTGAGCATTGGGCCTGACTGAACCACGCACCTGCCTTCCGCTTCAAAACACAGGATCTTGCTAAGGCTGAGAGGAAGGGGCACCTCAAATGCTGATCTGGTTTTCTTTTTTCTTTCTTTTTTTTTGAGATAGAGTGTTGCTCTATCACCCAGGTTGGAGTTCGGTGGCGCTGTCGCAGCTTACTGCAGCCTCCTGGACTCAAGCGATCCTCTCGCCTCAGGCATGCATCTCCATGCCTATGAAATAATTACATCTAAGACCACACTGGTCAAAATAAACTATCACATATTGACCTAACTACACGGCTAATTTTTATATTTTCTTTTTAGAGACGGGGGGGGGAGTAGTCTCACAGGGTAGTCTCAAACTCCTAGGCTCAAGCCATCCTCCCACCTTGCCCTCCCAAAGTGCTGGAATTACAGGCGTGAGCCACCGCTCCTGGCCTATTGGTTTCCTTTGCCAGAAACCAGGTCCTTTGGGGTGTTCATCTCCCAGAGGCCATCTCTTCCTCTCTTTTCTTCCTCGACCACGGCCAGCCCTGCCCCTGAGAGCCCTCAGCCTGGAAGCCTTCCGGGCCTGGCCGGCTGTTTAAAGCACTGGAGCTGCCCTTATCTGGTTGTAGACCTGCAGTTCTCTTAAATCCTTGTCCGCCCCAACAGCTCAATTGCAATAAATAACATTTCAGGAGAACTGCTTGAAAAATAAAAGTTCTTTCGTGTCTGCAGATCAGTGATACTCAAATGGGAAAAGCAGAGGGAATGCCTGATTTGTATGAGCACATTTCATTTAATAATATACCTTTATATTTAGAAAATAATGTCTTTTAAATATCAGTCCTTAAAAGATTTGATTGGACAAAAATGTGAGTGCCCAAAATGTTGAGAAAGACGTCTAAGCGCTGTGCAATTTCTCTTTGGATTAAATGAGATTAGAAAAGCAAATACCAGGCTAGGCGCGGTGGCTCACGCTTGTAATACCAGCTCCTTCCTTCCCCATCATTGCCCCCATTTCTGAGGTGCCCCTTCTATTTGGAGCTTGATGACTTTATGTAAAAAAAAATGCAGATTCACCTAGCATAATGCCAATGCATAGTTGACTGTTCCTCTACCTCCTCTTTTCACATGTGCAATGTGGATTCCATGAACGCTGATCAAAGCCTCGCAAGAATGCAATCACTTGCCTCTTTCATCTACTCTCCCCTTTTTCTCTTTCTTCTACTGCCTGCTTGTTCCCCTTTCAATATTGAAGGCCCCACATCCTCTTTGGAAAAAACATGGATCAAAGATATTCCTGTGATTTGTGTGTTCTTTTTCCTAGGCACATCCTCAACATTGGCAAAATAAAACTCTGAATTGACTGAGACTGACTTCAGTCATTTTCTTTGATTTACATGAAGAATCCTGCCTACCATGCTACCTCTGTGTTCAGCTCAGGCCTGGACCCCCTACATTCATGGTCCCCCAGCCCAGGCATAACAGCAGGCGGGACAGTCAGGAAACCCTGGTAAGGAACACTCTTGGGCTTCCTTGAGAGGGTGTGGGGGCAAAGAACAGGGGGAAAGGAGTAGGCAGCCAGCCGGGTGGAGGCTTTAGACAGGGGACCATGTGCTCAGACTGACAAGCTGCTCCAGGGGCCCTGGAATGGCTTCTCGAGCTCTCCTAGGACTTGAACCAGAACTGACAGGTTGATGGGGACTGGGAACAGGAGCAGTAGTGGAAGAATACATTCTCCAAAATCCTCTCAACAGTTTTACTGGCCATGTAAAACTGTTGACATGAGCCAGGATTCTCTCAAACTTATCTGCCCAATGCAGACATTTCTGTAATAAATATTTCTTAATACTTCCTAAACACACACACACACACACACACACACACACACACACACACACGGTTTTTCCAAAGTCAGTATAATGCCCTCGCTGAATAAAATAAAAAGAAAGTAATTTATAATAAAAGAATGTTCATTTCATCATGTAAATGTTCAGGCAGGCCTGCCCTTGAAGACAAAGTGAATAGTAAGGTGTTTGCACCTGTGTGTAGAGTCAACATGAGTATGGCAATGTGTGGTATAACGCATTGCGTTGGTCTTGGATACAGACTGTCACAGTGTGCTATACCAGAGACATGAGCACTAGGAGGGGTGTTTCCACTGGGGATGTGGCTTTAAAAATGCTGCCATTGACATTTTGGGCTGGATGAATAAGTAAAAAAAAATAAAAAATAAAAACGCTGCCAGTCCCAGCTTACCTCACTCCCCACAGTAGCTGTATTTCTAGAAAAATGCCTTACATAGAAAACTCTGCAAAAAGGACTTTATATTTACATGGAGTTCAAATCTAGGCCCAAATAATTATAAAAACATTTCTCTCTTGTGTGAATGTCTGGGAAAGCATTTGAAAGTCCTAAGTGACGTAGGACAACTGTATCTGCATCTTACATGTGGAGAATGTTAGAATCCTCACCCTGTCCACTAAATGTCTATGGTGCTGCCCCATCCATATGTCCACTATTCCACTTAACAAGGACCATGACATTAAGGGGTGCCCAGAGAATGGGCATCCTATGTATGTGTGGTTCTCTCACTTTTTTGGAAGGCCTAGAAAACAAAAACGGTTCCTGCAGAATTCAATTATAAGATACACCCAGTGGAGATTCCACCAACTTGCAAATTGTGCCGGGTGGAGGTGCTCTCTGTGGCTCCCTTTCTGCTGACCTCACACTTCTGCTAAAGCATATCACTCACTGGTGACAGGTTCATTATTTATTAACCTCAGACTCGTGCAAAGCAGCCAGTTTGGTCTCCACTTACTCATTTGTTTTAATTAAACCCTCTAATTTTATTTATGCTGCCACAAACTGATTAACAATTTGCCAGCAGAGAGCAGGAAGTCTTAAAAAGCACCTTGAAGAATCTGTGGGTCTCAAAACATAAACCTCACAGAAATGAGGTGGGTTGTGGGTGAGGGCTCCTGCCGGCTGGAGGAGGTAAGTTGTTGAAGCCTCACCATTTCCTACAACCTTGGAATAGCTTCTGGGTCTAAGATCTGGGGCCACCAGGAGCTGATGCATGGAGAGAGTATCTCTTTGTCTGACATCCCTGAAGCTGTGGGAGAGGGGATGGGGCTGGTATGGTGTCCTGTGTCCCTGGAGGACTGAGACTGTGGGTGGGGGCAGTGGAGATCTCAATCCCGAATCAGTGGCAGACATGGACATTGATCCAGCCAACTACAAAACAGTTTGGTTGTGTTAAGGTAGAGTTGGGCCTTGGGTGTTGGGAAAAGTTGGAAAAGGGCTGGAATTTGAGCTAAATCATGGAGGACTCCTAGAATATCACCAGACTGACTAGCTGGAGAGGACATGAGCAAACATTCAGACATTCAACCCTCCATTCTCCAAAGGCCAGGCATGCCACTAGTTCAAAATGTTAGGGAGAGAAAAAGGAATGGGAGACTGTAACAGGCTGAATCGGGGAATTTTAATCTGGTAATGTACAAGTGTGAATTCCTCAGCCCCCCACCCTCACAATAACCACTACTATCAGTTTTGCCTTTTCAGATTCTTTTTCTGATCCTGAAAGTGGGGAGGAAAGAAAACTTGGTCTCTTGCCCTATAAGTTTGGCTAGTATTCTGATACATGGTTAAAACCTTTGCCCCCTTTCAGGCAAATACTTAGTTTACTTGGGTGTGATAATCCTCTGTCCTGGTCTTCAGCAGTGAGGTGCTGGCAGAGGAGACCACGTAGCCTGCCCTCCCTGTGAACCTCTCTCTCCTCTGTTCCCTGCCCCAGCCATACAGAATTTGGAAAGCCATGAAGATAGTCCCATGTAGGGAGCACTGGCTGGTGGAGGAAGCTGCCATTGCTGGCTCATTCCTGCATCTCCTCTGAAAGCTGGTCTTCTGTACAGCCTTTAAAGTCCTGAGGATCTGCTTGCTCCACAATAACTGTGCAGTGACCCGCTGGCTCCCCCATTGCCTTTGTGCAAATAGCAGGTCCTGTCTGGTATTGTAAGCCCTCAGAGGGAGCCAGCTTTTTGTCCTCCACATCTTTGGCAATGAGCATGTGACAGCTTTCGGGGTTACCTCCCATATTTGTTAGCTTTTGCTGCATGACAAGGCATTAGAAAACAGTGTTTAATAGAATTAATATGCGTGATTTCTTACAATTCTATGGGTCAACTAGGAAATTCTCTGGTTTGGGTCAGCTTTCTGACTGCTGAGGTCAGCTAAAGGCTCAGCTGTGCTGGATGGTGTAGGACAACCTTAGTCACATGCCCCGAGTTGACCTGACATCCATGAGAACAATGTTGGACTTTGCCTTACAGAACTGTCAGATAATAAATCTAGGTTGAGACAAAAATAAAAAGAAATGTATCCATTGCCAAACCCCAGGTTATAAGGACTCACCCTTAGATTTTCTTCTAAGAGTTTGAGTACTTACATTTAGAGTTTGATCCATGTTGAATTAATTTTTGTATATGGTGTGAGGTAGGGTTAATTCTTTTGCATGTAGACATCTACTTGCTCCCGGATCATTTGTTGAAAAGACAATTATTTTCCCACTGAGCGGCCTTGGCACCCTTGTTGAAAATGAATTGAGCATAGACAGATGAGTTTATTTCTCAACTCTTAATTCTAACCCATTATCTATATGACTATCCTTATGCAAGAATACTTTTTTAAATGTAAATGCAATCATGTCACTTCCTTACTTAAAACTCTCCAACAGATTTGATTTGCACTTAGTATAAAATTTCATGCCTAGGTTACAGAGCTCTAGATATTTGGCCCCTTTCTATCTTGGTTTCAGTCAGAGTCCCAGTTTCTAGTCTGAAAACTTGCCAACTTTGTGCCTTACCCTCTTTACACTACTGCTTCCTGTGAAGAATCTTCTTCTGCCTGATCCTCCTACAGCTATATTCTTCCTGTTATTCTGACCAGAGTTGAAATGTCTCCTATTAAGATACCACTTCATACCCACCAAAGAGGCAGCCCACTTGCTCTCTGTTAACCTGTTTTATGTTCCTCAATAGTATTTATTACTTTATATATTTGATTTTATTGCATTTTTAATTTTCTTCCTCTGCTAGAATGCAAATGCCACGACAGTAGGGACCTTGTCTGCCTTGTTCACCTCATGTCCCCCACAACCAACAGAGTACCTAGCTCCAAGTAGTCACTCAATAAAATGAATCTGTTGAAATGGAAAATGCCCACATTCATTAGGTGGTGTTCTGGTCTCTCTCATGGCCATTTGCTGAATAGCAATCCCTGAGAGTAGGTTAATTTTAAAGGCAGTCACACTGACAATTAAAGAACAAACAAGTACAATTGCCCCATGATGTATGCATATCAAGATCATGTGATAGTTGATTTTAGGTCAATTTGACTGGATTAAGGACTATCTAGATAACTGGTAAAGCATCATTTTTGGGTGTGAGTGTGAGAGTGTTTTCAGAGGAGACTGGCTGTGAGTTAGTGGACTGAATGGGAAAGACCCCCCCCTCACTGTGGGTGGGCCCCATCCAATCTAAAAACCTGGACAGAGGCAGAAGAAAGGGGAATTTTTTTTTCTCTCTCAGAGCTGGGACACTCTTGCTCTTTGACATCAGAACTCCAGTCTTTGGACTCCAGGACTTACAACGGTGGCCTCCTGGGTTTTCAGGCCTTTGGCCTCAGACTGCAAGTTAATCATCGGCTTCCAGGTTCTGAGGTTTTAGGATTTAGACTGACATTCCAGGGTGTTCAGCTTGCAGATGTTCTGTTGCATAACTTCTTAGCCTCCATAGTCACATGAATCCATTTCCCTAGTAAATCACTTCTCATACACCTCTATTTCTATCCCTACTCTAACTCTATCATCTCTGTATTGTTATCTCTATCTCTATGTCTCTCTCTAGCTCTATCACTATCTCAGTTATCTCAATCTCTATCCCTACCCATACCCCTGCCTCTATCTCTATCTCTACCTATCTCTATCTTCCATCTCTATCTCTACCTATCTCTATCTTTATCCATCTATATCTCCATCTCCATCTCTCTATCTCTATCCTATTTGTTCTATCTCTCTATAGAACCCTAATACAGATATGATTCTCTTTTACTTCTACAGCTTTTATCTGGAATTAGATATCCTGAAAACATGTCCATGCCCTCGGGTTATTCTTTACTATTGCTGCATTCTTATTTATGTTCACATTTGCAATCATATTCCTCTTATATGAATAACAGATCAGCAGTAACTTTTCCTCTTGTGTTCAGAATCATTATAATTTCAAAATCTCTTCATGTATCTTCAAAATCTCTATTATGTATATTAATCCATCTTTTAGATCAGCTTCGAAGAGTAAGATGATTATTGGAGATTATCAAAATGA